CGGCGCTCAGCAACCCCATTCTGCTGCGGAGAGGCCGGAAGCGTGAAAGTCTGGCGGATGCCGTGCTCCGCACAGAAGGCTGCCAAGAGGTCTGAGGAGAACTCACCACCTCTGTCTGAGTGCAGACGCAGGACAAGAAAGTCCGACTGGAACCGCTCGCGGAGCTGGAGACGAGTAGCGCGGATCCAGGGGATCAAAACATCAGGGACATCCCCCTTGCGCTGCAAGGGGAAAACCGTGGTGTAACGCGTGTAGTCGTCGACAACCAGCAGGAAGTATCGCTCGTGGCCCTGTCCACGGACGCGGGCTGGGCCCCACACGTCCAGGTGGAGAGTCTGCAGTGGAGCCTCTGTGGGAGGGAACGAGGAGGAGTGAGGAGCGGCGCGCTGCCGCCCCTCGACGCAAGGAATGCAGGGCGGCGCAGGCGAGGGAGGGAGGGGAGGCAGAGACCTGGGAAGACCAGAAACCAGGAAGCGGGAGTGCATGCTGCGCAGGCGAGGTAGGGAGGGGTGACCAAGGCGGTGGTGCCACAGGAGAGTGTCGTGCGACAGCCGGCGACACTCACACTGTGTAGCTACCTGAGCAGACGCGTGCAACTGGGGAGACAAAGGGGCGGAGCGCGACGCAGTGGTGAGGGTGTACAGACTGGACCCTGGCGCACGAGCGAACGTGGCCAGGTGGCGACCAGTCTGGGAGCACGTGCAAATCGCCACACGCTGCCGGCCAGGGGTGAAGGTGTCAACCCCCGCATCCTGGAGGACAGCGGTACTCACCAAGTTCGTAGAGAACGAGGGGAGGTGGAGACCAGACAGCTCACCAGACGGGACCGCCGGACACGGAAGCACAGTGGAAGACCGTGCAAGCACTGGGCCCCCAGAGGGGCCAGCCAGTGAGACAGGAACAGGTGCAGGGAGGGGAGTGACTGTGGTACTGTCGCGAAAGAAACAGCGGGAAGCACCAGAGTCAAGTGTAAAGGTGTGCAAGGCCTGTGCAGGCGTAGGACCAGGGGGAGCAGACTCACAAGCACCTAGTGCTGCAGGGGCTATACCAGGGGTTATACCAGGATCCGGCGGCACACATAGGTAGCAGTCACCCTCAGCACTAACAGACAATACATACATAGCAGCAAGAATTGCCTCATAGTCAAGATCAAAGATAGGTACATCACGCCTAAGCAAGTCTGCCCAGTTGGGGAACTCAGGAGCATCAGGAAACTTGGCGCGCCAGGCGTCGCTAAGCCGAGCGAAGCAGCGCTGCTCAGTGTGAAAACCTGTGCACTGGCGACCAGCGCGGGGACCTGTGCGGATGATATAGGGGCAGCGACCAGGACCCCCAGAAGCCCCACGCCCGGCATACCAGTCAAGAAGCTGCTGGGAAGTGGGGGTCTGGCGCTGCCGCTGATGCTGCTGCTGGTGCTGCTGCGGCTGCTGCTGGCCCTGACCACCACTGCCACCACCGCTCCCTCCTCCCCCACTGCCGCTGCTGCCCCCTCCACCGCTCCCAGTGCCTCTGCCGCCCCCACCACCACCTCCACCGCCTCCACCCCCACGACCACCCCCACCACCTCCACCTCCCCCGCCGCTTGCACCACCGCCACCTCCACCGCCACCCCCACCGCCCCTGCCACCCCTGCCGCCCCTGCCGCTGCGACGCTTCCCACTAGGAGCGGAAGCAGCTCCGACCTCCTCAGCACCAAGGTAGTCGTGAGCAGCAGCTGCAGAGGCGTAGGAGGGGATGAGAGGGGAGGGGGAGCACCCCTCAAAGAGGGGAGAGCGAGGAGTGCCACGAGCAGCACCTACAGCGAGGATGTTCTTCTCTGCTGCGAGGAGGTGCTTCTCGAAGTCGTCGACAGTGAGAGTGGTGGGGTCTAGCGCTAGGAAGTGGTCCCTGACAGAGCTAAGGGTGTCAGGGAGGCGGGTGACGAGGAAATAGAGAGTGAAGTACATCGGGGGGGGATTTGCGGCGCAGAACTCGGCTGAAAGGGCGGCACGAAAGCGAGAGTCAGTAGCGCGCAGGTGAGAAACTAGGTCCTCAGCAGTGGTGAACGAGGAAAGATCGGGGAACAGGTATGGTAGCATGAGTCGACCTATGGCTGCAGTGGCCGGGGAGGAGTAGCGCGCAACTACAGCGTCGTACAGTGTCTTAGCAGTTTTGTGCTGGCTGAAATGCGCTCGCTCAGTAATCGGCAGGTGGTTCCTAATAGCTAGGCGTGCAGCAGCATCACGAGTCTGCCACTGGGAGCGTTCTAGAGCAGGAGCATCAGCAGCAGGAGTAACGGCAGTGCTAGAGACGTAATCAAACAGGGAAACGCCCTCTTTGGCATCAGTCAGAAGGAACAGCTGGAGATCGTCTAACCACACAGCGAACTCGATGGGACGACCGTCAGGCTCGAACGCTAGAACGTTAGGCGTCGCCATATTGGCTTAAGGCAGGAGGCAGCAGGCAGCAGGCAGCAGGCAGAGGCAGCAGGCAGCAGACAGGAGGCAGTAGGCACCAGGTAGGAGGCAGGCAGCAGAGGCAGGAGGCAGGAGGCAGGGGCAGCAAGCAGCAGGCAGGCGGCAGTAGGCAGCAGGCAGCAGGCAGGCAGCAGGCAGGCGGCAGGCAGGCGGCAGCAGGCAGCAAGCAGGCGGGCAGGAGGCAGGCGGCAGCAGGCAGCAAGCAGCAGGCAGGCGGCAGCAGGCAGCAGGCAGGTAGGCAGGCAGCAGACAGGCAGCAGGCAGGCGGCAGCAGGTAGCAAGCAGCAGGCAGGCGGCAGCAGGCAGCAGGCAGGAGCGGCCTGAGGGCGGCTGCTGGCTGCGTGTGGCGGCTTGCTGCGCGAAGCTGCAGGCTGCGCGTGGCTACGAACAGCGCGCGCGGCCGCAGGCTGCGTGCGGCGACGGGCTGCGCGGGCTGCGGGCTGCGCGTGGCGACAGGCAGCGTGCGCGGCTGCAAGCTGCGTGCGGCTGCGGGCTGCGCTGGGCGACGGGCCGCACGTGCGCGGCTGCGGGCTGGTCGCTAAGCTGCGCGCTGCGCTGGGCGACGGGCCGCGCTGGCGTGGCCTAACCAGGTTGCGCGCAGGCGGCTTAAGGGGCGCACAGGCGGGGCCGAAACGGGCTGCGCGGGCTGCTGAAGCGGCGCACGTGGGAAAAAAAAAAAAGGACCGCCCAAGGCGCTCGCGGGCAGCCGAGGCGCGCGCGGGCACTAGACAAGGCAGGCAGGTACGGTGGGCCCTAATCCTAGGTCCTAAGGACCTATGCTCTAGATGCCATGTTAGAATCCTAGGCAAAGTTGGTATTGAATGTCGAGAGTGTTGGTACAAAAATGAAACCTAAGGGGTTGTAATCCACAGTGAGTACCCCACTAAAGCCTATCTAAACTACAACATATAAACATATGTTTGACAGCTTAAGCTGCGGGAAAGTGGGGACAGCCACTTGAGGAAGGGGTGGGCGAGGAGCTTCGGAGCTACTGCTCGGTTTATCCCCGGCAGAAGCACTAACGGGAGGAGACGGCTGGGGCAAGACGGGGCGAGGCGACGTCCGTGCGCGTGCAGCAGTGGTAGATTGACTGTTACAAGGCAGATGACGCCTAACTACCATACTGCTTGAATCGGGTGAGGAGGCCATTCTAGTCTACTGCAGATTGGTGTCACTCTCCATGGCTGAAATGCCTATAAACAAAGAAGCAAGATTGTTGGACGGAGGCGCTCTCACAGCCGAGCACTTCTCAGTTTCGTGCACTGGAACCGCTGCATGAAGAGAAGGTGAGACCCATTTGAGGCACAGGGAAGTGACTGAACCAGTCTAGACGTGACTGGTACAGTGACAACGCAGCAGCGACCGCGATTCCGGCCTGGGTGGTTGCATGAATCCTCGCTGCGCGAGGTCAGCTCTGTTTTCACCCTATCAGGTGCCAGAGTTGCCCACTGGAATTGTGGCAGATTCCAGTGGGGGGTCACGTTATCCTCGTATACTCGGTTTTGCGGCCCTGTTCAATTCAACAATCTACAAGTGAAGTCAGACCCCAGATTTTGTTTCCATTCCTTTCTACTTCAAAAAAAATGTACCATATAATACGGTAAGACCCAAGTACTATGTCGCCTTTTCCAGACCCCCCCAATTTTTTCCCAGTAGTTATCATAATACCCTAGGGTGTTATGTCCGGGAGAATACAGTATCACTTTATACAAAGAAGCACAAAGCTGAACGGCTTTGTGGGGACATAGCCCAAAGAATGGTGAGGCGGTTGTCCAAACCACAACTTTCTAAAGCAGCAGCTGGTGGAAGATCTGCAGACGCCACAACAGATTCAGCAGCATGCGCTGACTCCATGTTGCTGCCGGGTCACAGCAGAAGGCCGCAGCAAGCCTTGTACAGCAGAAGGCCGCAGCAAGCCTTGTACAGCAGAACACAAAGCCCACAAGCCAAGTTCACACTTGCCCCCTCATGCCGCAGTAAGCTCACAGCCAGCCCAGCAGCACCTAAGACGAGCAGGCAGCAACAGTGAGTCAGCTGTCGCCAATGGTCGCAGCTACCACGTGTCAGCTCTCTCTCCCTAGCTCGTCTCGCTGTGTGTGGGCCGCTGCCGCTATGCATTTCTCTACATGTCGACTGGGGAGGCAACAGCCAGTGATGACTGCCCACGCTTATGTGACTTGGTGCGACGAGCTCAGCACCTGGTAATGCTGGCACACACACTCCAGCTGCTGCATCAGGCTCACATAAGCACGTCGCCCGCCACACCCTGCACTTCCCCCCCGCCTTCCACTCAGCATCAACAACACGAAGCACCGCACACAGCCGAATAACATCAACGCACACACTACCATCCGTCGCCACCACGCGGATCCCCTCCCTCGAGACCTCGCGTCTGCTACTAGCCTGTCCGCCCGCGGCCGTGTGACTCGCCAATTCATCCTTCTCATGGTTACGTCAGCATGCGCTGCCTCTCAACTCACGCGCACGGAATTAGCCGCACTTGCAGACCCATTCATACACGCTCCATGCGCGCTTTTGAATGGCCTAGTCCCGTCGCGGCGGCGCTTGGTGCGCGGTGGGGCGCGCGTCGAAGACGCCGTCGATGAGGTGGTCGACGGCGGCGTCCAGCCAGTGCAAGCACCCGCGCGCCAGGATGTCCGACACGTGTCGCTTCGACCGCCACGCCACGGCGTACCCCGCCGACACCGCGGCTGCGCCCACGCCCAGCGAGAGCGCGGGGAGCAGCGCGCTGCGGTCGACGGCGCTGAAGATACCGTTGCCCGTCGCGAACTCCACCAGCAGCGCCAGCGCCAGCGCCAGCGCCACCTGTGGCGGGGAGGGGAAGTTGGGGGGGGGGGGGGGGGGGGAGGCGACCGCAGAGGAAGCAGGGCGCTGAGTGCAATGCACAGAGGAACATTCCCCCTGCGACCAAAAGCCTCTAATTTTCAGAAAGCAGGATGCGCGTCGCGCTTATTCGACTCACCATGGCGGCCCGGCCGGCGACGGTCTCGAGATCCTCGACCTGCGCGGAGGCCTCGACGGTGGCCATGAGCAGGTCCGCCAGCTGCTTGCCGTGCCCGTCCTCCACCACGCGCACCGCCAGCGCCACGGGCCGCACGGCCGCCTCGCCCGTCGACGACTCGTGAAAGTCCTCCAGGTGGCACAGCCGTGGCACCACCTGCGACTCGGGGATGGGCGCCGCGCTGAAGTCGCCGATCGACGCGCTCAGACCCGTACGAGCACGGTTAGCGGCGGGGCGTTGTCTTTGCGTGGTGGAGGGCGAGGACGCGAGGACGGCTGAGATGGCGTGCCGCAGGACTAACGACTGGGCCATCGCGTCGCGAAGTTTGGCTGTCAGAAGTGTCGATTAGTCGCGGAGGGCAGAAAGTCACAAGATAGTTGAAAAGGGGACCAACGAAAAGACAGCAGTGAGCACAAGCGTCAAGAGGGCTGGCGTTGCAGACAAAGCTTGTGTTTGGTTGAGCTTGGTGTGGAGATAGAAGAGCAAGAAATGAGTCTGGTTGGTTGCACGCTGTTCCAGTGTGGTTCCTTTGTAGTGCATGACGAGTTGATGAGCTCGATGGATCTGGCTAGTTGGCAGAGGAGAGAGGTTGATCAATCTCGCTGTCAGATGCGGCGCGCCTTCCTACCCGTCGTGGGGTTCAACGCTCAAAGATGAAGCTGGTCATGTCACAGAGGGCGCGGGCAACTGCGTTGTTTCCGACGGGCTGCCCAGCTTCGTTGATGTTTAGGGCAAAACACCAGGTCTCGGTATGGCTGCAACACAACCTGCGGTACGCTAAGTGTCAGATGCGTAAAGTGTCGTATTTAGAGAGAGAATCTTCATTTTGCTTGCGATGTAAACACCCAAGCAGTAAACTGGTCACCATAACACCACCATATATATATATATATATATATATATATATACAACCGTATGGTACCTATCGGTACCCGAAGTCACACCTCGACAGGCACTGCAACATCCAACAGCTGAGGAGCTGCTGTCCTCACCAACATGCTTCTCACTCGGTTATTTTCATACCCTCTCTCTAGTGTAGCTCGCATCCATCCAACCAAATCCGCATCTGAAAATGCATACGCATATTAGCAGACTTCAAACTTTGGGAGAGGACCCCGTACATTTCAGGACTACATGGTATTTGCACGAGGTAACAGCATATCAAGTAGAGATGTCGAACATCGGCGTCTGCGCGGTATAAGCTGCTACCTTAGAACAACTTCCACCCGGGGAAACTACCAAATTGTGGAATGGCAGATGCAGAAGGGGAGGATGAGGAGGTGGGGAAGAGGGTGGTCGGTGTGCGCTCAAAGAAGGCCAGTGGCACCGTCTTCACTCGTCGCCCCAACTGGTGGGTGGAGGAAAAGGATGGGGGTCGAAGACAAATCACAGCAAGAGAGCATATTTACCACGACAGCTTATGGATGTGCAGCATGGATTGCGTTGCAAATTGTGAGCCGGGTTGACAAAAACATGCAGGGGAAAAATGCACTGGCAAACTGGTGTTCAAATAGCTTTCCCCGACCAAGATGACTGCACGTTGGCTTGAAGAAGAAAGGAAACTTTATCAGGGGCTCTGCACCTAGCCTACTCTGCCGTGACACCGATAAATGCAGCTCTGCCTCTGCAGCACCATGCACGGCACACTGCCCACCGCACTGCACTCTACTGCGCTGTGCTGCACTGCAATGCACTGCCCTGCACCGCACCACACCGCACAGCACGCACCTCATCGGCCATGATGGTGCCGTAGGAGGTGGCGGAGAAGTCAGCCACGTTGAGCTCCACCGTGCTGCTGCGCTCCGATAGGTCCTTCTCCAGTGACGCCACGAACCTGCTCCCATGGCACGGGAGGAGCGGGAGGGGGGAGGGAGAGGGAATGGGAGAGAGGCGAGACAAGGGAAGGCAGGCCATGTGGTGCAGAGGAATGTAGGTGGTGGTGGGCATGGAAGTGCCAGTGACCAAAGGATGCAGGGGGCTCACGCCCAGGTAGGGTGGAGAAAGAGAAGAGCGGTTTGGTTCCAAGGAAGAAGGGGTTTGAAAGCAGCAGGAGTTTGGGAGCGTACCGTGAGACAGCGGGGCAGTAGTGGCGCTGCAGTGCCTCCACCTCCCACAGGCTGCTGTCTGTGAGGTGGGGGTGAGGGCACGCACAGACACAAGACGGGGGAAGCCAAGGGAGTGTGTGTGCAAGCTTCTGCTACTCGTGTGTGCGTGTCGTGCAAGGACCCGTTGCTCACAATCTATCACCTAATGTAATGCTTTTGGGCCTACCAAGGGCACGAGCAGCCATGAGGTCGGTGGCATCCTCGTCAAACGGATCCCTCCCTGTTGGCCTCCCCCCTCTGCCTCCCTCCTCCCCTGCTCCTGCCGTTCTCTCTCCACTCCCTCCTCCTTTCCCTTCCCCGTCTTTTCTCCCCCTTCCCTCCTCTCCAGCTGAACCTTCCTCTCCATCAGCATTGCTCTCCTCGCCCTTGCCATTCCCCGCCTCCTTCCCTTCCTTCTTATCCCCTTCCTGCTGGGCCTGCCCGTCCTGCCCTCGCTGCGTGCTTTGCTTCTGTTCCCCTTCATCCTCCTCGTCACTGCTGCTGTCCTGAAATGTTCACACCACACCACACCACACCACACCACACCACACCACACCACACCATACCACACACGCACAGGAGCGCTGTAGAGTCAAGGTGCAACAACCACATCACATGATGGTACACTGAAAAGAGAACGAGGTTGAAATGCCTGGGCACTGTGCACATTCCACAGGAGCAGCAGCAGGAGCTACAGCGGGGCAAGGGGAAACGGCAGCCAGCCCGGAAGCAAGGAGAAGGTGGTCCATGGCCTCAACCTAGAACCCGTACTGCCGCACATGTCGAGACAGCCCCGCCTCACCTGGAGTGTGTGTGGCGCCTCACCTGGAAAGTGTCAGGCAGGGCGGCGCGGTGCACGAGGGGGGCGATGGCAGGGTGGCGGCGCAGCAGGTTGTGGGCGAGCGCCACCACCACTATGGCGCCCGAGGGGGGGGCGCAGAGCGACACGCGGAAGAGCTGCTTCGTGAACGCCGCTGCCATGTATGCCGGGAGCAGTGGGGACGCCAGACTCACATCCAGCAGCTGGGGCCGTTTAGAGGGGAGGGGGCGGGCGGACATAAAGGGGGGGGGGGGAAGAGAAGAGACAGTGTGCATGGGCGGCTCACTTGTGCCAAGGGAGAACATGGGTTATACTTTAGTAGGTTCCCGTGATGCCGTAGATGTGGTTACCAGCATGGCATGACACCTGATTGTTGTAATTTCATATTTTATACAACATACATAGGCTAGAATTAGATGTGTAACACATTTATAAATTGGGGGGTTGTTTAGTGTACCCTCCAACCACATTTTGTGGTTGGTTGGGATTGGTCCTTAACTCAACCAATCCCAACCAACACACATTTGTGGTTGCTTGGGCCACAAGCAAGCTCACCCATTGGTCAACATATTGGCCAATAGGGTAAACTTCCCTCTCATCTCTCTCTTGCTCATTGTTTGTACTAAAGAGCCTCGTGGCTCATTATTCAATTCATCAATTCTCTCCTTCATCATGGTATCATGAGCTAATGGCTCACGCCTTCATCCCTCGGTCCTTAGGCCACCCTCTCCTCCCCGTCCCTCAGATCTAGCCTTCTAGAACGGAGCTGCCATCTCTTCGCGCGCCCTTTAGGCGTTGTCCTCCCTCCCCGCGCGCCCCATAAGGCGCAGCCCTCCAAGGCACTGCTCCACGCACGTCCAGATCTGCAACTCCAGTGCCCAGATCTGACCTCCCAGCGCCCAGATCTGCCCTCCCAGCGCCCAAATCTGACCTCCCAGCGCTCAGATCTGCCCTCCCAGCGCCCAGATCTGACCTCCCAGCGCCCAGATCTGCCCTCCCAGCGCCCAGATCTGCCCTCCCAGCGCCCATATCCGCTCTCCTCGCGCTCAGATCTGCAACTCCAGCGCCCAGATCTACTCCTCCCGCGCCCAGATCTACTCCTCCCTCGCCCAGATCTACTCCTCTTGCACCCAGATCTGCACATTTCGTTACCAGATCTGCATTCTGCGCGTCCAGATCCGCATTCCGCGCATCCAGATCTGCACTCCGCGCGACCAGATCTGCATTCCACGCGACCAGATCTGCACTCAGCGCGACCAGATCTGCATTCCGCGCATCCAAATCTGCACTCTGCGCGCCCAGATCTGCATACCTCGCGACCAGATCTGCACTTTCCGCGCCCAGATCCACTCCTCCCGCGCTCGGATCTGCCACAGGGCTGCCCTCCTCGTCCCTACCCACAGCAGCATCATCAGCGGCATCTGCAGCAACGCCAACAGCAGCACCCTTCCCCCTGCCTCCCCCATAACATCGCTCCCCCCTCCTCCTCCACCTTCCCCCACCTTCCGCTCCTCCCTTCCTCCTCCCATCCTACCAGCAGCAGGACCAGCAGCGGCACCAGCAGCAGGACCAGCAGCGGCACCAGCAGCAGGACCAGCAGCGGCACCAGCAGCAGGACCAGTAGCGGCACCAGCAGCAGGACCAGCAGCGGCACCAGTAGCAGGACCAGCAGCGCCACCAGCAACAGTACCCTCGCCCCATCCTCCTCCTGCCCTTGTTTCCACCCACCCTCGTCTCTATGGCATCGTCGGATTCTTCCGCCGACCTTGCTACTGTTGATGCACTCGAGTTGCTACCCGACAACACTGCTGCTAATTGGCACTCCTACGCTCCTTGCTACTGTTGATGCACTCGAGTTGCTACCCGACAACACTGCTGCTAATTGGCACTCCTACGCTCACTCGGTCGAGGTTCTCCTCTCCTCAGTTGTGATCAGCGGCTACAGCCTTTGCTCGGTTGCCTTCCAGGAAGGTGGTGGACTTCAGCCCGTGGCCCCCACCGCTCCCATTGGACCTGTCCCCACCCACCCTGGCGCCGAGCCCTCTCCCCCTGGTGATCCTCCCACCTTCGCACCGAATGTCAACGATCCGCAGAGCTCGGAGACCGCCATCCGCACCTACCGCACCAATCTCCAAGAGCACCTGCGCCAGCATCTGCGTTACGAGGACGAGAAGCGCATTTATGACGACACCGCTGCCCGCTACAACAAGTACCAGGAGGACCTTGACACCTACACCGCAGACCTTGCCGACTACACCACGAAAATAACTGCCTGGCGAGTTGCCGATCGGCGCGCGCTTGCCATTCTTCTTGCCACCGTCCCCTCCTCCCTCAAACGCGAGCTCTCACCTACCTCCTCCTCCCACCTGTGGCGACTCCTCGTCGACCTTTTCGATCGGCAAGACGTTGCCACCCTCTACGCCCTCATCAAAGAATTCGGCACTGTCTCCATGGACTCCACTTCTGGCGCCGCTACCTTCACTCGCCGTCTCCTAGACCTTGCTCGGCGCCTTGCGGCACTCGATGTGGTGTACCCGGACACTGTCATCTGCTGCCACCTCCTCGAGGGCCTCACACCTGCCTTCGACGCTCACAAGCTTGCCTACATGCAGCTTCTCTCCAAGCACCATACCCCTGCTGAAGTCGCTCAGTAGATTATCACCACCGAAGCCGAGATCCTTCGCCACTCTACCTCCACAGTCGCAGTAGCTCAGCCGCGCAGCAGGAGGGGTGGGCGTGGCGGTGGGCATGGGGGTGGGCGTGGTGGTGGGAGTGGGGGTGGACGAGGCGGATCACTGGGTCGCGGTGGCAGTGGTAGTGGTGGTGCGGGTCGCGGTGCGGCGGCTGCCTTTCCTCCCTGTCAGTACCTGCCTCGCTACGGTCCCACTCAGGGACAGCGCTGCGGCCAAACCACTCATGCCACAGAAACATGCTTCAAGGCACTCAGTGATGAGTGGTTTGCCCGTGGCAACACCGGCACCCCTCCTCGCTGGTCTGCCCTCAACCCATGCCCCACTCCCCTTGAAGTCCGTTCCTCTCCCCTCTATGAGCTTTCCTCCTCCACCCAGGCCCACCAGGCCCTTGCCCCTCCCCCGCAGCAGCAGCAGCAGCTTGGGAGTCAGCAGCAGGGGTTACAACAGTATGGGCAGCAACTTCTCCTTTCTCAACTCAAGCAGCAGCTCCAGTATCTCCAGCAGCAGCTCGACCTTCAGCTGCAGCTGCCCCTCCTCCCTCCTCCTCCCGTTTCCCAGCAGCAGCCCTTTCCAACCTGGACTGCCGGCAGTGCTGCGTCCGCAGCCCATCTCTCGGGTGCATCTCCAGCGCCGTCTGCAGGTGGCAGTGTGACCGCTTTCCCCTCTTCTGGTTTTGTCGGTTTGCTAGGTCAACCTGAATCTGTTGCATCTCCCATGTACCCTTCCTCTGTTAATGAAACTTCGTTCCAGTACTCTGCCTCACCCTCCTCCACCCTTGATTTCGTCCTGGACAATGGAGCCACTGACACTGTCCTTCGTGATGCTGGTACACTGTGCCCTCTCCCCAACCCACCTCCCTCCTCGGTGCTGATAGCAATTTTTCTATCCCCTGTCACAACACTTCCACCCTTCCCTCTCCTCTCTTTCCCTCAGGTACTGTCACCGGTCTTCACATTCCCTCCCTACGCACTAACATCCTCTCCCAAAGGTCCCTCCAACAAGCCAATATCACCACTGTCTTCCCAGGTGGTGCTAACTACTGTGCCCTTTGCAATACTGCTACAGGTCGCTTTCTCTCTCGTATTCCCTTCGGTCCTCGTTCCCGTCTGTACACCCTTCGCCGCCCTGTAGGGGGAATTAGATGTGTAGCACATTCATAAATTGGGGGGTTGTTTAGTGTACCCTCCAACCACATTTTGTGGTTGGTTGGGATTGGTCCTTAACTCAACCAATCTCAACCAACACACATATGTGGTTGCTTGGGCCACAAGCAAGCTCACCCATTGGTCAACATATTGGCCAATAGGGTAAGCTTCTCTCTCATCTCTCTCTTGCTCAGTGTTTGTATTAAAGGGCCTCTTGACTCATTATTAAATTCATCAATTCTCTCCTTCATCACTGATGACATGTGTCATGACATGTGATGGGAATTGACAGCACGGCACGGCACCACAGCACGGCACGGCACGGCACAGCACGGCACGGCACCACACAGCACGGCACCACACAGCACGGCGCGCGGCACCTCAAAGAACTTGGCGCGGTGGGCGGCGCGGAAGAGGGAGGAGTCGAGGAGGCGGTAGAGGCGCGGGTAGAATTGCGGGGCCTCCAAGCCGTGCTCCGTCACCAGCCGGAACAGCGCTGCCAGCGCCGCCACCGCACACGCCCCGCCCTGCTCGTATGACACCGTGAGGAAGTCGCTGCGTGGTGAGATGGGTGACCACGGAAGGGACGAGGGACACGGGTGCAGTGGGGCGTGCGAGGCGGTGGGGCGCGTGAGGAGTTACTACAGCACATGGGGTCAATGGGATGAGAACAAGCGAGGTGGGAGGGCAGGTGGTGGGGATAGTCAAAGAAGGGCATATGGCGAGAGAGTATCGTTGGGGCACAGGGGAGAAAGTGGACGAGAAACATGCTTTGGACGAGAAACATGCTTTGGACGAGAAACATGCATTGGACGAGAAACATGCATTGGACGAGAAACATGCATTGGACGAGAAACATGCTTTGGACGAGAAACATGCATTGGACGAGAAACATGCTTTGGACGAGAAACATGCATTGGACGAGAAACATGCTTTGGACGAGAAACATGCATTGGACGAGAAACATGCATTGGACGAGAAACATGCTTTGGACGAGAAACATGCTTTGGACGAGAAACATGCATTGGACGAGAAACATGCATTGGACGAGAAACATGCTTTGGACGAGAAACATGCATTGGACGAGAAACATGCATTGGACGAGAAACATGCTTTGGACGAGAAACATGCTTTGGACGAGAAACATGCATTGGACGAGAAACATGCTTTGGACGAGAAACATGCTTTGGACGAGAAACATGCATTGGACGAGAAACATGCATTGGACGAAAAACATGCATTGGACGAGAAACATGCATTGGACGAGAAACATGGATTGGACGAGAAACATGCTTTGGACGAGAAACATGCATTGGACGAGAAACATGCATTGGACGAGAAACATGCTTTGGACGAGAAACATGCTTTGGACGAGAAACATGCATTGGACGAGAAACATGCATTGGACGAGAAACATGCATTGGACGAGAAACATGCATTGGACGAGAAACATGCTTTGGACGAGAAACATGCATTGGACGAGAAACATGCATTGGACGAGAAACATGCTTTGGACGAGAAACATGCATTGGACGAGAAACATGCATTGGACGAGAAACATGCATTGGACGAGAAACATGCATTGGACGAGAAACATGCTTTGGACGAGAAACATGCATTGGACGAGAAACATGCATTGGACGAGAAACATGCATTGGACGAGAAACATGCTTTGGACGAGAAACATGCTTTGGACGAGAAACATGCTTTGGACGAGAAACATGCATTGGACGAGAAACATGCTTTGGACGAGAAACATGCATTGGACGAGAAACATGCATTGGACGAGAAACATGCTTTGGACGAGAAACATGCTTTGGACGAGAAACATGCATTGGACGAGAAACATGCATTGGACGAGAAACATGCTTTGGACGAGAAACATGCATTGGACGAGAAACATGCATTGGACGAGAAACATGCTTTGGACGAGAAACATGCTTTGGACGAGAAACATGCATTGGACGAGAAACATGCTTTGGACGAGAAACATGCATTGGACGAGAAACATGCATTGGACGAGAAACATGCATTGGACGAGAAACATGCATTGGACGAGAAACATGCATTGGACGAGAAACATGCATTGGACGAGAAACATGCATTGGACGAGAAACATGCTTTGGACGAGAAACATGCATTGGACGAGAAACATGCTTTGGACGAGAAACATGCATTGGACGAGAAACATGCATTGGACGAGAAACATGCTTTGGACGAGAAACATGCTTTGGACGAGAAACATGCATTGGACGAGAAACATGCATTGGACGAGAAACATGCTTTGGACGAGAAACATGCATTGGACGAGAAACATGCATTGGACGAGAAACATGCATTGGACGAGAAACATGCTTTGGACGAGAAACATGCTTTGGACGAGAAACATGCTTTGGACGAGAAACATGCTTTGGACGAGAAACATGCTTTGGACGAGAAACATGCATTGGACGAGAAACATGCTTTGGACGAGAAACATGCATTGGACGAGAAACATGCTTTGGACGAGAAACATGCATTGGACGAGAAACATGCTTTGGACGAGAAACATGCTTTGGACGAGAAACATGCTTTGGACGAGAAACATGCATTGGACGAGAAACATGCATTGGACGAGAAACATGCTTTGGACGAGAAACATGCTTTGGACGAGAAACATGCTTTGGACGAGAAACATGCTTTGGACGAGAAACATGCATTGGACGAGAAACATGCATTGGACGAGAAACATGCATTGGACGAGAAACATGCATTGGACGAGAAACATGCTTTGGACGAGAAACATGCTTTGGACGAGAAACATGCATTGGACGAGAAACATGCATTGGACGAGAAACATGCATTGGACGAGAAACATGCATTGGACGAGAAACATGCATTGGACGAGAAACATGCATTGGACGAGAAACATGCATTGGACGAGAAACATGCATTGGACGAGAAACATGCTTTGGACGAGAAACATGCATTGGACGAGAAACATGCATTGGACGAGAAACATGCTTTGGACGAGAAACATGCTTTGGACGAGAAACATGCTTTGGACGAGAAACATGCTTTGGACGAGAAACATGCTTTGGACGAGAAACATGCTTTGGACGAGAAACATGCATTGGACGAGAAACATGCTTTGGACGAGAAACATGCATTGGACGAGAAACATGCATTGGACGAGAAACATGCTTTGGACGAGAAACATGCTTTGGACGAGAAACATGCTTTGGACGAGAAACATGCTTTGGACGAGAAACATGCATTGGACGAGAAACATGCTTTGGACGAGAAACATGCTTTGGACGAGAAACATGCATTGGACGAGAAACATGCTTTGGACGAGAAACATGCTTTGGACGAGAAACATGCTTTGGACGAGAAACATGCTTTGGACGAGAAACATGCATTGGACGAGAAACATGCTTTGGACGAGAAACATGCTTTGGACGAGAAACATGCATTGGACGAGAAACATGCTTTGGACGAGAAACATGCTTTGGACGAGAAACATGCATTGGACGAGAAACATGCATTGGACGAGAAACATGCATTGGACGAGAAACATGCTTTGGACGAGAAACATGCTTTGGACGAGAAACATGCATTGGACGAGAAACATGCATTGGACGAGAAACATGCATTGGACGAGAAACATGCTTTGGACGAGAAACATGCATTGGACGAGAAACATGCTTTGGACGAGAAACATGCTTTGGACGAGAAACATGCATTGGACGAGAAACATGCATTGGACGAGAAACATGCTTTGGACGAGAAACATGCTTTGGACGAGAAACATGCATTGGACGAGAAACATGCTTTGGACGAGAAACATGCTTTGGACGAGAAACATGCATTGGACGAGAAACATGCATTGGACGAGAAACATGCTTTGGACGAGAAACATGCATTGGACGAGAAACATGCATTGGACGAGAAACATGCATTGGACGAGAAACATGCTTTGGACGAGAAACATGCTTTGGACGAGAAACATGCTTTGGACGAGAAACATGCTTTGGACGAGAAACATGCTTTGGACGAGAAACATGCATTGGACGAGAAACATGCTTTGGACGAGAAACATGCTTTGGACGAGAAACATGCATTGGACGAGAAACATGCTTTGGACGAGAAACATGCTTTGGACGAGAAACATGCTTTGGACGAGAAACATGCTTTGGACGAGAAACATGCATTGGACGAGAAACATGCATTGGACGAGAAACATGCTTTGGACGAGAAACATGCTTTGGACGAGAAACATGCTTTGGACGAGAAACATGCTTTGGACGAGAAACATGCTTTGGACGAGAAACATGCATTGGACGAGAAACATGCTTTGGACGAGAAACATGCATTGGACGAGAAACATGCATTGGACGAGAAACATGCATTGGACGAGAAACATGCATTTGGACGAGAAACATGCTTTGGACGAGAAACATGCTTTGGACGAGAAACATGCTTTGGACGAGAAACATGCTTTGGACGAGAAACATGCTATTGGACGAGAAACATGCATTGGACGAGAAACATGCATTGGACGAGAAACATGCTTTGGACGAGAAACATGCTTTGGACGAGAAACATGCTTTGGACGAGAAACATGCTTTGGACGAGAAACATGCATTGGACGAGAAACATGCTTTGGACGAGAAACATGCTTTGGACGAGAAACATGCTTTGGACGAGAAACATGCTTTGGACGAGAAACATGCATTGGACGAGAAACATGCTTTGGACGAGAAACATGCTTTGGACGAGAAACATGCATTGGACGAGAAACATGCTTTGGACGAGAAACATGCATTGGACGAGAAACATGCTTTGGACGAGAAACATGCATTGGACGAGAAACATGCTTTGGACGAGAAACATGCATTGGACGAGAAACATGCTTTGGACGAGAAACATGCTTTGGACGAGAAACATGCTTTGGACGAGAAACATGCATTGGACGAGAAACATGCTTTGGACGAGAAACATGCATTGGACGAGAAACATGCTTTGGACGAGAAACATGCATTGGACGAGAAACATGCTTTGGACGAGAAACATGCATTGGACGAGAAACATGCTTTGGACGAGAAACATGCTTTGGACGAGAAACATGCTTTGGACGAGAAACATGCATTGGACGAGAAACATGCTTTGGACGAGAAACATGCATTGGACGAGAAACATGCTTTGGACGAGAAACATGCATTGGACGAGAAACATGCTTTGGACGAGAAACATGCATTGGACGAGAAACATGCTTTGGACGAGAAACATGCATTGGACGAGAAACATGCATTGGACGAGAAACATGCTTTGGACGAGAAACATGCATTGGACGAGAAACATGCTTTGGACGAGAAACATGCATTGGACGAGAAACATGCATTGGACGAGAAACATGCATTGGACGAGAAACATGCATTGGACGAGAAACATGCATTGGACGAGAAACATGCATTGGACGAGAAACATGCATTGGACGAGAAACATGCATTGGACGAGAAACATGCATTGGACGAGAAACATGCTTGGACGAGAAACATGCATTGGACGAGAAACATGCATTGGACGAGAAACATGCTTTGGACGAGAAACATGCTTTGGACGAGAAACATGCTTTGGACGAGAAACATGCTTTGGACGAGAAACATGCTTTGGACGAGAAACATGCATTGGACGAGAAACATGCTTTGGACGAGAAACATGCATTGGACGAGAAACATGCTTTGGACGAGAAACATGCATTGGACGAGAAACATGCTTTGGACGAGAAACATGCTTTGGACGAGAAACATGCTTTGGACGAGAAACATGCATTGGACGAGAAACATGCTTTGGACGAGAAACATGCATTGGACGAGAAACATGCTTTGGACGAGAAACATGCATTGGACGAGAAACATGCATTGGACGAGAAACATGCATTGGACGAGAAACATGCATTGGACGAGAAACATGCTTTGGACGAGAAACATGCATTGGACGAGAAACATGCTTTGGACGAGAAACATGCATTGGACGAGAAACATGCTTTGGACGAGAAACATGCTTTGGACGAGAAACATGCATTGGACGAGAAACATGCATTGGACGAGAAACATGCTTTGGACGAGAAACATGCATTGGACGAGAAACATGCATTGGACGAGAAACATGCATTGGACGAGAAACATGCTTTGGACGAGAAACATGCTTTGGACGAGAAACATGCTTTGGACGAGAAACATGCTTTGGACGAGAAACATGCTTTGGACGAGAAACATGCATTGGACGAGAAACATGCTTTGGACGAGAAACATGCATTGGACGAGAAACATGCTTTGGACGAGAAACATGCATTGGACGAGAAACATGCTTTGGACGAGAAACATGCTTTGGACGAGAAACATGCTTTGGACGAGAAACATGCTTTGGACGAGAAACATGCATTGGACGAGAAACATGCATTGGACGAGAAACATGCTTTGGACGAGAAACATGCTTTGGACGAGAAACATGCTTTGGACGAGAAACATGCTTTGGACGAGAAACATGCATTGGACGAGAAACATGCATTGGACGAGAAACATGCATTGGACGAGAAACATGCATTGGACGAGAAACATGCTTTGGACGAGAAACATGCTTTGGACGAGAAACATGCATTGGACGAGAAACATGCATTGGACGAGAAACATGCATTGGACGAGAAAAATGCATTGGACGAGAAACATGCATTGGACGAGAAACATGCATTGGACGAGAAACATGCATTGGACGAGAAACATGCATTGGACGAGAAACATGCATTGGACGAGAAACATGCATTGGACGAGAAACATGCATTGGACGAGAAACATGCTTTGGACGAGAAACATGCTTTGGACGAGAAACATGCTTTGGACGAGAAACATGCTTTGGACGAGAAACATGCTTTGGACGAGAAACATGCTTTGGACGAGAAACATGCATTGGACGAGAAACATGCTTTGGACGAGAAACATGCATTGGACGAGAAACATGCATTGGACGAGAAACATGCTTTGGACGAGAAACATGCTTTGGACGAGAAACATGCTTTGGACGAGAAACATGCTTTGGACGAGAAACATGCATTGGACGAGAAACATGCTTTGGACGAGAAACATGCTTTGGACGAGAAACATGCATTGGACGAGAAACATGCATTGGACGAGAAACATGCTTTGGACGAGAAACATGCTTTGGACGAGAAACATGCTTTGGACGAGAAACATGCATTGGACGAGAAACATGCTTTGGACGAGAAACATGCTTTGGACGAGAAACATGCATTGGACGAGAAACATGCTTTGGACGAGAAACATGCTTTGGACGAGAAACATGCATTGGACGAGAAACATGCATTGGACGAGAAACATGCTTTGGACGAGAAACATGCTTTGGACGAGAAACATGCATTGGACGAGAAACATGCATTGGACGAGAAACATGCATTGGACGAGAAACATGCTTTGGACGAGAAACATGCATTGGACGAGAAACATGCTTTGGACGAGAAACATGCTTTGGACGAGAAACATGCATTGGACGAGAAACATGCATTGGACGAGAAACATGCTTTGGACGAGAAACATGCTTTGGACGAGAAACATGCATTGGACGAGAAACATGCTTTGGACGAGAAACATGCTTTGGACGAGAAACATGCATTGGACGAGAAACATGCATTGGACGAGAAACATGCATTGGACGAGAAACATGCTTTGGACGAGAAACATGCATTGGACGAGAAACATGCATTGGACGAGAAACATGCATTGGACGAGAAACATGCTTTGGACGAGAAACATGCTTTGGACGAGAAACATGCTTTGGACGAGAAACATGCTTTGGACGAGAAACATGCTTTGGACGAGAAACATGCATTGGACGAGAAACATGCTTTGGACGAGAAACATGCTTTGGACGAGAAACATGCATTGGACGAGAAACATGCTTTGGACGAGAAACATGCTTTGGACGAGAAACATGCTTTGGACGAGAAACATGCTTTGGACGAGAAACATGCATTGGACGAGAAACATGCATTGGACGAGAAACATGCTTTGGACGAGAAACATGCTTTGGACGAGAAACATGCTTTGGACGAGAAACATGCTTTGGACGAGAAACATGCTTTGGACGAGAAACATGCTTTGGACGAGAAACATGCTTTGGACGAGAAACATGCATTGGACGAGAAACATGCTTTGGACGAGAAACATGCATTGGACGAGAAACATGCATTGGACGAGAAACATGCATTGGACGAGAAACATGCTTTGGACGAGAAACATGCTTTGGACGAGAAACATGCTTTGGACGAGAAACATGCTTTGGACGAGAAACATGCTTTGGACGAGAAACATGCATTGGACGAGAAACATGCTTTGGACGAGAAACATGCTTTGGACGAGAAACATGCTTTGGACGAGAAACATGCTTTGGACGAGAAACATGCTTTGGACGAGAAACATGCTTTGGACGAGAAACATGCATTGGACGAGAAACATGCATTGGACGAGAAACATGCTTTGGACGAGAAACATGCTTTGGACGAGAAACATGCTTTGGACGAGAAACATGCTTTGGACGAGAAACATGCATTGGACGAGAAACATGCTTTGGACGAGAAACATGCTTTGGACGAGAAACATGCTTTGGACGAGAAACATGCTTTGGACGAGAAACATGCATTGGACGAGAAACATGCTTTGGACGAGAAACATGCTTTGGACGAGAAACATGCATTGGACGAGAAACATGCTTTGGACGAGAAACATGCATTGGACGAGAAACATGCTTTGGACGAGAAACATGCATTGGACGAGAAACATGCTTTGGACGAGAAACATGCATTGGACGAGAAACATGCTTTGGACGAGAAACATGCTTTGGACGAGAAACATGCTTTGGACGAGAAACATGCATTGGACGAGAAACATGCTTTGGACGAGAAACATGCATTGGACGAGAAACATGCTTTGGACGAGAAACATGCATTGGACGAGAAACATGCTTTGGACGAGAAACATGCATTGGACGAGAAACATGCTTTGGACGAGAAACATGCTTTGGACGAGAAACATGCTTTGGACGAGAAACATGCATTGGACGAGAAACATGCTTTGGACGAGAAACATGCATTGGACGAGAAACATGCTTTGGACGAGAAACATGCATTGGACGAGAAACATGCTTTGGACGAGAAACATGCTTTGGACGAGAAACATGCATTGGACGAGAAACATGCTTTGGACGAGAAACATGCATTGGACGAGAAACATGCATTGGACGAGAAACATGCTTTGGACGAGAAACATGCATTGGACGAGAAACATGCTTTGGACGAGAAACATGCATTGGACGAGAAACATGCATTGGACGAGAAACATGCATTGGACGAGAAACATGCATTGGACGAGAAACATGCATTGGACGAGAAACATGCATTGGACGAGAAACATGCTTTGGACGAGAAACATGCATTGGACGAGAAACATGCATTGGACGAGAAACATGCTTTGGACGAGAAACATGCTTTGGACGAGAAACATGCTTTGGACGAGAAACATGCATTGGACGAGAAACATGCATTGGACGAGAAACATGCTTTGGACGAGAAACATGCATTGGACGAGAAACATGCTTTGGACGAGAAACATGCATTGGACGAGAAACATGCTTTGGACGAGAAACATGCATTGGACGAGAAACATGCTTTGGACGAGAAACATGCATTGGACGAGAAACATGCTTTGGACGAGAAACATGCTTTGGACGAGAAACATGCTTTGGACGAGAAACATGCATTGGACGAGAAACATGCTTTGGACGAGAAACATGCATTGGACGAGAAACATGCTTTGGACGAGAAACATGCATTGGACGAGAAACATGCATTGGACGAGAAACATGCATTGGACGAGAAACATGCTTTGGACGAGAAACATGCATTGGACGAGAAACATGCTTTGGACGAGAAACATGCATTGGACGAGAAACATGCTTTGGACGAGAAACATGCATTGGACGAGAAACATGCTTTGGACGAGAAACATGCTTTGGACGAGAAACATGCATTGGACGAGAAACATGCATTGGACGAGAAACATGCATTGGACGAGAAACATGCATTGGACGAGAAACATGCTTTGGACGAGAAACATGCTTTGGACGAGAAACATGCATTGGACGAGAAACATGCTTTGGACGAGAAACATGCTTTGGACGAGAAACATGCATTGGACGAGAAACATGCTTTGGACGAGAAACATGCTTTGGACGAGAAACATGCTTTGGACGAGAAACATGCATTGGACGAGAAACATGCATTGGACGAAAAACATGCTTTGGACGAGAAACATGCTTTGGACGAGAAACATGCATTGGACGAGAAACATGCATTGGACGAGAAACATGCATTGGACGAGAAACATGCATTGGACGAGAAACATGCTTTGGACGAGAAACATGCATTGGACGAGAAACATGCTTTGGACGAGAAACATGCTTTGGACGAGAAACATGCATTGGACGAGAAACATGCATTGGACGAGAAACATGCATTGGACGAGAAACATGCATTGGACGAGAAACATGCATTGGACGAGAAACATGCTTTGGACGAGAAACATGCTTTGGACGAGAAACATGCTTTGGACGAGAAACATGCTTTGGACGAGAAACATGCATTGGACGAGAAACATGCATTGGACGAGAAACATGCATTGGACGAGAAACATGCATTGGACGAGAAACATGCATTGGACGAGAAACATGCATTGGACGAGAAACATGCATTGGACGAGAAACATGCTTTGGACGAGAAACATGCATTGGACGAGAAACATGCTTTGGACGAGAAACATGCATTGGACGAGAAACATGCATTGGACGAGAAACATGCTTTGGACGAGAAACATGCTTTGGACGAGAAACATGCTTTGGACGAGAAACATGCATTGGACGAGAAACATGCTTTGGACGAGAAACATGCATTGGACGAGAAACATGCTTTGGACGAGAAACATGCATTGGACGAGAAACATGCTTTGGACGAGAAACATGCTTTGGACGAGAAACATGCATTGGACGAGAAACATGCATTGGACGAGAAACATGCTTTGGACGAGAAACATGCTTTGGACGAGAAACATGCATTGGACGAGAAACATGCTTTGGACGAGAAACATGCTTTGGACGAGAAACATGCATTGGACGAGAAACATGCATTGGACGAGAAACATGCATTGGACGAGAAACATGCTTTGGACGAGAAACATGCATTGGACGAGAAACATGCATTGGACGAGAAACATGCATTGGACGAGAAACATGCTTTGGACGAGAAACATGCTTTGGACGAGAAACATGCTTTGGACGAGAAACATGCTTTGGACGAGAAACATGCTTTGGACGAGAAACATGCATTGGACGAGAAACATGCTTTGGACGAGAAACATGCTTTGGACGAGAAACATGCATTGGACGAGAAACATGCTTTGGACGAGAAACATGCTTTGGACGAGAAACATGCTTTGGACGAGAAACATGCTTTGGACGAGAAACATGCATTGGACGAGAAACATGCATTGGACGAGAAACATGCTTTGGACGAGAAACATGCTTTGGACGAGAAACATGCTTTGGACGAGAAACATGCTTTGGACGAGAAACATGCTTTGGACGAGAAACATGCTTTGGACGAGAAACATGCATTGGACGAGAAACATGCTTTGGACGAGAAACATGCATTGGACGAGAAACATGCATTGGACGAGAAACATGCATTGGACGAGAAACATGCTTTGGACGAGAAACATGCTTTGGACGAGAAACATGCTTTGGACGAGAAACATGCTTTGGACGAGAAACATGCTTTGGACGAGAAACATGCATTGGACGAGAAACATGCTTTGGACGAGAAACATGCTTTGGACGAGAAACATGCTTTGGACGAGAAACATGCTTTGGACGAGAAACATGCTTTGGACGAGAAACATGCTTTGGACGAGAAACATGCATTGGACGAGAAACATGCATTGGACGAGAAACATGCTTTGGACGAGAAACATGCTTTGGACGAGAAACATGCTTTGGACGAGAAACATGCTTTGGACGAGAAACATGCATTGGACGAGAAACATGCTTTGGACGAGAAACATGCTTTGGACGAGAAACATGCTTTGGACGAGAAACATGCTTTGGACGAGAAACATGCATTGGACGAGAAACATGCTTTGGACGAGAAACATGCTTTGGACGAGAAACATGCATTGGACGAGAAACATGCTTTGGACGAGAAACATGCATTGGACGAGAAACATGCTTTGGACGAGAAACATGCATTGGACGAGAAACATGCTTTGGACGAGAAACATGCATTGGACGAGAAACATGCTTTGGACGAGAACGATGCTTTGGACGAGAAACATGCTTTGGACGAGAAACATGCATTGGACGAGAAACATGCTTTGGACGAGAAACATGCATTGGACGAGAAACATGCTTTGGACGAGAAACATGCATTGGACGAGAAACATGCTTTGGACGAGAAACATGCATTGGACGAGAAACATGCTTTGGACGAGAAACATGCTTTGGACGAGAAACATGCTTTGGACGAGAAACATGCATTGGACGAGAAACATGCTTTGGACGAGAAACATGCATTGGACGAGAAACATGCTTTGGACGAGAAACATGCATTGGACGAGAAACATGCTTTGGACGAGAAACATGCATTGGACGAGAAACATGCTTTGGACGAGAAACATGCATTGGACGAGAAACATGCATTGGACGAGAAACATGCTTTGGACGAGAAACATGCATTGGACGAGAAACATGCTTTGGACGAGAAACATGCATTGGACGAGAAACATGCATTGGACGAGAAACATGCATTGGACGAGAAACATGCATTGGACGAGAAACATGCATTGGACGAGAAACATGCTTTGGACGAGAAACATGCATTGGACGAGAAACATGCATTGGACGAGAAACATGCTTTGGACGAGAAACATGCATTGGACGAGAAACATGCTTTGGACGAGAAACATGCATTGGACGAGAAACATGCTTTGGACGAGAAACATGCATTGGACGAGAAACATGCTTTGGACGAGAAACATGCATTGGACGAGAAACATGCTTTGGACGAGAAACATGCTTTGGACGAGAAACATGCTTTGGACGAGAAACATGCATTGGACGAGAAACATGCTTTGGACGAGAAACATGCATTGGACGAGAAACATGCTTTGGACGAGAAACATGCATTGGACGAGAAACATGCATTGGACGAGAAACATGCATTGGACGAGAAACATGCTTTGGACGAGAAACATGCATTGGACGAGAAACATGCTTTGGACGAGAAACATGCATTGGACGAGAAACATGCTTTGGACGAGAAACATGCATTGGACGAGAAACATGCTTTGGACGAGAAACATGCTTTGGACGAGAAACATGCATTGGACGAGAAACATGCATTGGACGAGAAACATGCATTGGACGAGAAACATGCATTGGACGAGAAACATGCTTTGGACGAGAAACATGCTTTGGACGAGAAACATGCATTGGACGAGAAACATGCTTTGGACGAGAAACATGCTTTGGACGAGAAACATGCATTGGACGAGAAACATGCTTTGGACGAGAAACATGCTTTGGACGAGAAACATGCTTTGGACGAGAAACATGCATTGGACGAGAAACATGCATTGGACGAGAAACATGCTTTGGACGAGAAACATGCTTTGGACGAGAAACATGCATTGGACGAGAAACATGCATTGGACGAGAAACATGCATTGGACGAGAAACATGCATTGGACGAGAAACATGCTTTGGACGAGAAACATGCATTGGACGAGAAACATGCTTTGGACGAGAAACATGCTTTGGACGAGAAACATGCATTGGACGAGAAACATGCATTGGACGAGAAACATGCATTGGACGAGAAACATGCATTGGACGAGAAACATGCATTGGACGAGAAACATGCTTTGGACGAGAAACATGCTTTGGACGAGAAACATGCTTTGGACGAGAAACATGCTTTGGACGAGAAACATGCATTGGACGAGAAACATGCATTGGACGAGAAACATGCATTGGACGAGAAACATGCATTGGACGAGAAACATGCATTGGACGAGAAACATGCATTGGACGAGAAACATGCATTGGACGAGAAACATGCTTTGGACGAGAAACATGCATTGGACGAGAAACATGCTTTGGACGAGAAACATGCATTGGACGAGAAACATGCATTGGACGAGAAACATGCTTTGGACGAGAAACATGCTTTGGACGAGAAACATGCTTTGGACGAGAAACATGCATTGGACGAGAAACATGCTTTGGACGAGAAACATGCATTGGACGAGAAACATGCTTTGGACGAGAAACATGCATTGGACGAGAAACATGCTTTGGACGAGAAACATGCTTTGGACGAGAAACATGCATTGGACGAGAAACATGCTTTGGACGAGAAACATGCTTTGGACGAGAAACATGCATTGGACGAGAAACATGCTTTGGACGAGAAACATGCTTTGGACGAGAAACATGCATTGGACGAGAAACATGCATTGGACGAGAAACATGCATTGGACGAGAAACATGCATTGGACGAGAAACATGCATTGGACGAGAAACATGCTTTGGACGAGAAACATGCTTTGGACGAGAAACATGCATTGGACGAGAAACATGCATTGGACGAGAAACATGCATTGGACGAGAAACATGCATTGGACGAGAAACATGCATTGGACGAGAAACATGCATTGGACGAGAAACATGCTTTGGACGAGAAACATGCTTTGGACGAGAAACATGCTTTGGACGAGAAACATGCATTGGACGAGAAACATGCATTGGACGAGAAACATGCATTGGACGAGAAACATGCATTGGACGAGAAACATGCATTGGACGAGAAACATGCATTGGACGAGAAACATGCATTGGACGAGAAACATGCATTGGACGAGAAACATGCATTGGACGAGAAACATGCATTGGACGAGAAACATGCTTTGGACGAGAAACATGCATTGGACGAGAAACATGCTTTGGACGAGAAACATGCATTGGACGAGAAACATGCATTGGACGAGAAACATGCTTTGGACGAGAAACATGCATTGGACGAGAAACATGCTTTGGACGAGAAACATGCATTGGACGAGAAACATGCTTTGGACGAGAAACATGCTTTGGACGAGAAACATGCATTGGACGAGAAACATGCTTTGGACGAGAAACATGCTTTGGACGAGAAACATGCATTGGACGAGAAACATGCTTTGGACGAGAAACATGCATTGGACGAGAAACATGCATTGGACGAGAAACATGCTTTGGACGAGAAACATGCATTGGACGAGAAAGATGCATTGGACGAGAAACATGCTTTGGACGAGAAACATGCTTTGGACGAGAAACATGCTTTGGACGAGAAACATGCATTGGACGAGAAACATGCATTGGACGAGAAACATGCTTTGGACGAGAAACATGCATTGGACGAGAAACATGCTTTGGACGAGAAACATGCATTGGACGAGAAACATGCTTTGGACGAGAAACATGCATTGGACGAGAAACATGCTTTGGACGAGAAACATGCATTGGACGAGAAACATGCTTTGGACGAGAAACATGCTTTGGACGAGAAACATGCTTTGGACGAGAAACATGCATTGGACGAGAAACATGCTTTGGACGAGAAACATGCATTGGACGAGAAACATGCTTTGGACGAGAAACATGCATTGGACGAGAAACATGCATTGGACGAGAAACATGCATTGGACGAGAAACATGCTTTGGACGAGAAACATGCATTGGACGAGAAACATGCTTTGGACGAGAAACATGCATTGGACGAGAAACATGCTTTGGACAAGAAACATGCATTGGACGAGAAACATGCTTTGGACGAGAAACATGCTTTGGACGAGAAACATGCATTGGACGAGAAACATGCATTGGACGAGAAACATGCATTGGACGAGAAACATGCATTGGACGAGAAACATGCATTGGACGAGAAACATGCTTGGACGAGAAACATGCTTTGGACGAGAAACATGCATTGGACGAGAAACATGCTTTGGACGAGAAACATGCTTTGGACGAGAAACATGCATTGGACGAGAAACATGCTTTGGACGAGAAACATGCTTTGGACGAGAAACATGCTTTGGACGAGAAACATGCATTGGACGAGAAACATGCATTGGACGAGAAACATGCTTTGGACGAGAAACATGCTTTGGACGAGAAACATGCATTGGACGAGAAACATGCATTGGACGAGAAACATGCATTGGACGAGAAACATGCATTGGACGAGAAACATGCTTTGGACGAGAAACATGCATTGGACGAGAAACATGCTTTGGACGAGAAACATGCTTTGGACGAGAAACATGCATTGGACGAGAAACATGCATTGGACGAGAAACATGCATTGGACGAGAAACATGCTTTGGACGAGAAACATGCTTTGGACGAGAAACATGCTTTGGACGAGAAACATGCATTGGACGAGAAACATGCTTTGGACGAGAAACATGCATTGGACGAGAAACATGCTTTGGACGAGAAACATGCATTGGACGAGAAACATGCTTTGGACGAGAAACATGCTTTGGACGAGAAACATGCTTTGGACGAGAAACATGCATTGGACGAGAAACATGCATTGGACGAGAAACATGCTTTGGACGAGAAACATGCTTTGGACGAGAAACATGCTTTGGACGAGAAACATGCTTTGGACGAGAAACATGCATTGGACGAGAAACATGCATTGGACGAGAAACATGCATTGGACGAGAAACATGCATTGGACGAGAAACATGCTTTGGACGAGAAACATGCTTTGGACGAGAAACATGCATTGGACGAGAAACATGCATTGGACGAGAAACATGCATTGGACGAGAAAAATGCATTGGACGAGAAACATGCATTGGACGAGAAACATGCATTGGACGAGAAACATGCATTGGACGAGAAACATGCATTGGACGAGAAACATGCATTGGACGAGAAACATGCATTGGACGAGAAACATGCTTTGGACGAGAAACATGCTTTGGACGAGAAACATGCATTGGACGAGAAACATGCATTGGACGAGAAACATGCATTGGACGAGAAACATGCTTTGGACGAGAAACATGCTTTGGACGAGAAACATGCTTTGGACGAGAAACATGCATTGGACGAGAAACATGCATTGGACGAGAAACATGCATTGGACGAGAAACATGCATTGGACGAGAAACATGCATTGGACGAGAAACATGCATTGGACGAGAAACATGCATTGGACGAGAAACATGCATTGGACGAGAAACATGCATTGGACGAGAAACATGCATTGGACGAGAAACATGCATTGGACGAGAAACATGCATTGGACGAGAAACATGCATTGGACGAGAAACATGCATTGGACGAGAAACATGCATTGGACGAGAAACATGCTTTGGACGAGAAACATGCTTTGGACGAGAAACATGCTTTGGACGAGAAACATGCATTGGACGAGAAACATGCATTGGACGAGAAACATGCATTGGACGAGAAACATGCATTGGACGAGAAACATGCATTGGACGAGAAACATGCATTGGACGAGAAACATGCATTGGACGAGAAACATGCATTGGACGAGAAACATGCATTGGACGAGAAACATGCTTTGGACGAGAAACATGCATTGGACGAGAAACATGCTTTGGACGAGAAACATGCATTGGACGAGAAACATGCATTGGACGAGAAACATGCTTTGGACGAGAAACATGCATTGGACGAGAAACATGCTTTGGACGAGAAACATGCTTTGGACGAGAAACATGCATTGGACGAGAAACATGCTTTGGACGAGAAACATGCATTGGACGAGAAACATGCATTGGACGAGAAACATGCATTGGACGAGAAACATGCATTGGACGAGAAACATGCTTTGGACGAGAAACATGCTTTGGACGAGAAACATGCATTGGACGAGAAACATGCATTGGACGAGAAACATGCATTGGACGAGAAACATGCTTTGGACGAGAAACATGCATTGGACGAGAAACATGCTTTGGACGAGAAACATGCTTTGGACGAGAAACATGCTTTGGACGAGAAACATGCTTTGGACGAGAAACATGCATTGGACGAGAAACATGCTTTGGACGAGAAACATGCTTTGGACGAGAAACATGCATTGGACGAGAAACATGCATTGGACGAGAAACATGCTTTGGACGAGAAACATGCTTTGGACGAGAAACATGCATTGGACGAGAAACATGCATTGGACGAGAAACATGCATTGGACGAGAAACATGCTTTGGACGAGAAACATGCATTGGACGAGAAACATGCTTTGGACGAGAAACATGCATTGGACGAGAAACATGCATTGGACGAGAAACATGCTTTGGACGAGAAACATGCATTGGACGAGAAACATGCTTTGGACGAGAAACATGCTTTGGACGAGAAACATGCATTGGACGAGAAACATGCATTGGACGAGAAACATGCTTTGGACGAGAAACATGCTTTGGACGAGAAACATGCTTTGGACGAGAAACATGCATTGGACGAGAAACATGCTTTGGACGAGAAACATGCATTGGACGAGAAACATGCTTTGGACGAGAAACATGCATTGGACGAGAAACATGCTTTGGACGAGAAACATGCTTTGGACGAGAAACATGCATTGGACGAGAAACATGCTTTGGACGAGAAACATGCTTTGGACGAGAAACATGCATTGGACGAGAAACATGCTTTGGACGAGAAACATGCTTTGGACGAGAAACATGCATTGGACGAGAAACATGCATTGGACGAGAAACATGCATTGGACGAGAAACATGCATTGGACGAGAAACATGCATTGGACGAGAAACATGCTTTGGACGAGAAACATGCTTTGGACGAGAAACATGCATTGGACGAGAAACATGCATTGGACGAGAAACATGCATTGGACGAGAAACATGCATTGGACGAGAAACATGCATTGGACGAGAAACATGCATTGGACGAGAAACATGCTTTGGACGAGAAACATGCTTTGGACGAGAAACATGCATTGGACGAGAAACATGCATTGGACGAGAAACATGCATTGGACGAGAAACATGCATTGGACGAGAAACATGCATTGGACGAGAAACATGCATTGGACGAGAAACATGCTTTGGACGAGAAACATGCTTTGGACGAGAAACATGCTTTGGACGAGAAACATGCATTGGACGAGAAACATGCATTGGACGAGAAACATGCATTGGACGAGAAACATGCATTGGACGAGAAACATGCATTGGACGAGAAACATGCATTGGACGAGAAACATGCATTGGACGAGAAACATGCATTGGACGAGAAACATGCATTGGACGAGAAACATGCATTGGACGAGAAACATGCTTTGGACGAGAAACATGCATTGGACGAGAAACATGCTTTGGACGAGAAACATGCATTGGACGAGAAACATGCATTGGACGAGAAACATGCTTTGGACGAGAAACATGCATTGGACGAGAAACATGCTTTGGACGAGAAACATGCTTTGGACGAGAAACATGCATTGGACGAGAAACATGCTTTGGACGAGAAACATGCATTGGACGAGAAACATGCATTGGACGAGAAACATGCATTGGACGAGAAACATGCATTGGACGAGAAACATGCTTTGGACGAGAAACATGCTTTGGACGAGAAACATGCATTGGACGAGAAACATGCATTGGACGAGAAACATGCATTGGACGAGAAACATGCTTTGGACGAGAAACATGCATTGGACGAGAAACATGCTTTGGACGAGAAACATGCTTTGGACGAGAAACATGCTTTGGACGAGAAACATGCTTTGGACGAGAAACATGCATTGGACGAGAAACATGCTTTGGACGAGAAACATGCATTGGACGAGAAACATGCATTGGACGAGAAACATGCTTTGGACGAGAAACATGCTTTGGACGAGAAACATGCATTGGACGAGAAACATGCATTGGACGAGAAACATGCATTGGACGAGAAACATGCTTTGGACGAGAAACATGCATTGGACGAGAAACATGCATTGGACGAGAAACATGCATTGGACGAGAAACATGCATTGGACGAGAAACATGCTTTGGACGAGAAACATGCATTGGACGAGAAACATGCATTGGACGAGAAACATGCTTTGGACGAGAAACATGCATTGGACGAGAAACATGCATTGGACGAGAAACATGCATTGGACGAGAAACATGCTTTGGACGAGAAACATGCTTTGGACGAGAAACATGCATTGATGTGAGGTGAGTCGACACTTTTTTGGGTGATGTGATGCGACTAGACACCATGGAGTGGAGATGTGAGGTGAGTAGACACTTTTTTGGGTGATTTGATGCGACTAGACACCATGGAGTGGAGATGTGAGGTGAGTCGACACTTTTTTGGGTGATGTGATGCGAGTAGACACCATGGAGTGGAGATGTGAGGTGAGTCGACACTTTTTTGGGTGATTTGATGCGAGTAGACACCATGGAGTGGAGATGTGAGGTGAGTAGACACTTTTTTGGGTGATTTGATGCGACTAGACACCATAGAGTGGAGATGTGAGGTGAGTCGACACTTTTTTGGGTGATGTGATGCGAGTAGACACCATGGAGTGGAGATGTGAGGTGAGTCGACACTTTTTTGGGTGATTTGATGCGAGTAGACACCATGGAGTGGAGATGTGAGGTGAGTCGACACGTTTTTGGGTGATGTGATGCGAGTAGACACCATGGAGTGGAGATGTGAGGTGAGTCGACACTTTTTTGGGTGATGTGATGCGAGTAGACACCATGGAGTGGAGATGTGAGGTGAGTCGACACTTTTTTGGGTGATGTGATGCGACTAGACACCATGGAGTGGAGATGTGAGGTGAGTCGACACTTTTTTGGGTGATTTGATGCGAGTAGACACCATGGAGTGGAGATGTGAAGTGAGTCGACACTTTTTTGGGTGATTTGATGCGTGTAGACACCATGGAGTGGAGATGTGAGGTGAGTCGACACTTTTTTGGGTGATGTGATGCGAGTAGACACCATGGAGTGGAGATGTGAGGTGAGTCGACACTTTTTTGGGTGATTTGATGCGAGTAGACACCATGGAGTGGAGATGTGAGGTGAGTCGACACGTTTTTGGGTGATGTGATGCGAGTAGACACCATGGAGTGGAGATGTGAGGTGAGTCGACACTTTTTTTGGGTGATGTGATGCGAGTAGACACCATGGAGTGGAGATGTGAGGTGAGTTGACACTTTTTTGGGTGATGTGATGCGACTAGACACCATGGAGTGGAGATGTGAGGTGAGTCGACACTTTTTTGGGTGATTTGATGCGAGTAGACACCATGGAGTGGAGATGTGAAGTGAGTCGACACTTTTTTGGGTGATTTGTTGCGAGTAGACACCATGGAGTAGAGATGTGAGGTGAGTCGACACTTTTTTGGGTGATTTGATGCGAGTAGACACCATGGAGTGGAGATGTGAGGTGAGTCGACACGTTTTTGGGTGATGTGATGCGAGTAGACACCATGGAGTGGAGATGTGAGGTGAGTCGACACTTTTTTGGGTGATGTGATGCGACTAGACACCATGGAGTGGAGATGTGAGGTGAGTCGACACTTTTTTGGGTGATGTGATGCGACTAGACACCATGGAGTGGAGATGTGAGGTGAGTCGACACTTTTTTGGGTGATTTGATGCGAGTAGACACCATGGAGCGGAGATGTGAGGTGAGTCGACACCTTTTTGGGTGATGTGTTGCAACTAGACACCATGGAGTGGAGATGTGAGGTGAGTCGACACTTTTTTGGGTGATGTGATGCGACTAGACACCATGGAGTGGAGATGTGAGGTGAGTCGACACTTTTTTGGGTGATTTGATGCGAGTAGACACCATGGAGTGGAGATGTGAAGTGAGTCGACACTTTTTTGGGTGATTTGTTGCGAGTAGACACCATGGAGTAGAGATGTGAGGTGAGTCGACACTTTTTTGGGTGATTTGATGCGAGTAGACACCATGGAGTAGAGATGTGAGGTGAGTCGACACTTTTTTGGGTGATTTGATGCGGGTAGACACCATGGAGTGGAGATGTGAGGTGAGTCGACACTTTTTTGGGTGATGTGATGCGAGTAGACACCATGGAGTGGAGATGTGAGGTGAGTCGACACTTTTTTGGGTGATTTGATGTGGGTAGACACCATGGAGTGGAGATGTGAGGTGAGTCGACACTTTTTTGGGTGCTGTGATGCGACTAGACACCATGGAGTGGAGATGTGAGGTGAGTAGACACTTTTTTGGGTGATTTGATGCGACTAGACACCATGGAGTGGAGATGTGAGGTGAGTCGACACTTTTTTGGGTGATGTGATGCGAGTAGACACCATGGAGTGGAGATGTGAGGTGAGTCGACACTTTTTTGGGTGATTTGATGCGAGTAGACACCATGGAGTGGAGATGTGAGGTGAGTAGACACTTTTTTGGGTGATTTGATGCGACTAGACACCATAGAGTGGAGATGTGAGGTGAGTCGACACTTTTTTGGGTGATGTGATGCGAGTAGACACCATGGAGTGGAGATGTGAGGTGAGTCGACACTTTTTTGGGTGATTTGATGCGAGTAGACACCATGGAGTGGAGATGTGAGGTGAGTCGACACGTTTTTGGGTGATGTGATGCGAGTAGACACCATGGAGTGGAGATGTGAGGTGAGTCGACACTTTTTTGGGTGATGTGATGCGAGTAGACACCATGGAGTGGAGATGTGAGGTGAGTCGACACTTTTTTGGGTGATGTGATGCGACTAGACACCATGGAGTGGAGATGTGAGGTGAGTCGACACTTTTTTGGGTGATTTGATGCGAGTAGACACCATGGAGTGGAGATGTGAAGTGAGTCGACACTTTTTTGGGTGATTTGATGCGTGTAGACACCATGGAGTGGAGATGTGAGGTGAGTCGACACTTTTTTGGGTGATGTGATGCGAGTAGACACCATGGAGTGGAGATGTGAGGTGAGTCGACACTTTTTTGGGTGATTTGATGCGAGTAGACACCATGGAGTGGAGATGTGAGGTGAGTCGACACGTTTTTGGGTGATGTGATGCGAGTAGACACCATGGAGTGGAGATGTGAGGTGAGTCGACACTTTTTTGGGTGATGTGATGCGAGTAGACACCATGGAGTGGAGATGTGAGGTGAGTCGACACTTTTTTAGGTGATGTGATGCGACTAGACACCATGGAGTGGAGATGTGAGGTGAGTCGACACTTTTTTGGGTGATTTGATGCGAGTAGACACCATGGAGTGGAGATGTGAGGTGAGTAGACACTTTTTTGGGTGATTTGATGCGACTAGACACCATAGAGTGGAGATGTGAGGTGAGTCGACACTTTTTTGGGTGATGTGATGCGAGTAGACACCATGGAGTGGAGATGTGAGGTGAGTCGACACTTTTTTGGGTGATTTGATGCGAGTAGACACCATGGAGTGGAGATGTGAGGTGAGTCGACACGTTTTTGGGTGATGTGATGCGAGTAGACACCATGGAGTGGAGATGTGAGGTGAGTCGACACTTTTTTGGGTGATGTGATGCGAGTAGACACCATGGAGTGGAGATGTGAGGTGAGTCGACACTTTTTTGGGTGATGTGATGCGACTAGACACCATGGAGTGGAGATGTGAGGTGAGTCGACACTTTTTTGGGTGATTTGATGCGAGTAGACACCATGGAGTGGAGATGTGAAGTGAGTCGACACTTTTTTGGGTGATTTGATGCGTGTAGACACCATGGAGTGGAGATGTGAGGTGAGTCGACACTTTTTTGGGTGATGTGATGCGAGTAGACACCATGGAGTGGAGATGTGAGGTGAGTCGACACTTTTTTGGGTGATTTGATGCGAGTAGACACCATGGAGTGGAGATGTGAGGTGAGTCGACACGTTTTTGGGTGATGTGATGCGAGTAGACACCATGGAGTGGAGATGTGAGGTGAGTCGACACTTTTTTGGGTGATGTGATGCGAGTAGACACCATGGAGTGGAGATGTGAGGAGAGTCGACACTTTTTTGGGTGATGTGATGCGACTAGACACCATGGAGTGGAGATGTGAGGTGAGTCAACACGTTTTTGGGTGATGTGATGCGAGTAGACACCATGGAGTGGAGATGTGAGGTGAGTCGACACTTTTTTGGGTGATGTGATGCGAGTAGACACCATGGAGTGGAGATGTGAGGTGAGTCGACACTTTTTTGGGTGATGTGATGCGACTAGACACCATGGAGTGGAGATGTGAGGTGAGTCGACACTTTTTTGGGTGATTTGATGCGAGTAGACACCATGGAGTGGAGATGTGAAGTGAGTCGACACTTTTTTGGGTGATTTGATGCGTGTAGACACCATGGAGTGGAGATGTGAGGTGAGTCGACACTTTTTTGGGTGATGTAATGCGAGTAGACACCATGGAGTGGAGATGTGAGGTGAGTCGACACTTTTTTGGGTGATTTGATGCGAGTAGACACCATGGAGTGGAGATGTGAGGTGAGTCGACACGTTTTTGGGTGATGTGATGCGAGTAGACACCATGGAGTGGAGATGTGAGGTGAGTCGACACTTTTTTGGGTGATGTGATGCGAGTAGACACCATGGAGTGGAGATGTGAGGTGAGTCGACACTTTTTTGGGTGATGTGATGCAACTAGACACCATGGAGTGGAGATGTGAGGTGAGTCGACACTTTTTTGGGTGATTTGATGCGAGTAGACACCATGGAGTGGAGATGTGAAGTGAGTCGACACTTTTTTGGGTGATGTAATGCGACTAGGCACCATGGAGTGGAGATGTGAGGTGAGTCGACACTTTTTTGGGTGATTTGATGCAAGTAGACACCATGGAGTGGAGATGTGAGGTGAGTCGACACTTTTTTGGGTGATGTGATGCGACTAGACACCATGGAGTGGAGATGTGAGGTGAGTCGACATTTTTTTGGGTGATTTGATGCGAGTAGACACCATGGAGTGGAGATGTGAGGTGAGTCGACACTTTTTTGGGTGATTTGATGCGGGTAGACACCATGGAGTGGAGATGTGAGGTGAGTCGACACTTTTTTGGGTGATGTGATGCGACTAGACACCATGGAGTGGAGATGTGAGGTGAGTAGACACTTTTTTGGGTGATTTGATGCGACTAGACACCATGGAGTGGAGATGTGAGGTGAGTCGACACTTTTTTGGGTGATGTGATGCGAGTAGACACCATGGAGTGG